TCTCTTCTGCCTCATTTATCCTAGCAGTTAGAGCCTCCATTTTTGATTGCACCTCATTAATAGCCTTTTTGATTTCGACTTGGTTAGATTTTAGTTCTCAAGTTTTAGTCTCTTTAGTTTATTTCTCAAGAAAGGGTTTCTCTAATATCTTCCATGCTTTTTTGAAGCCTAACTAGTATCTTTAAAATCGTCATTCTGAACTCTAGTTCCAACATCTTATTAATGTCCCGTATTGATTAGGTCCCTGGCAGTTGGTACTGCCTCTTGTTCTTTTTTTTGAGGTGACTTTTTCCATCTTGACATTTTATTTTAATTAGTAGATGGCTTGTTACATAAATCAATGTCATGTTGAGCTGACATCCATATTTTATCTATGAATTTTTGTAAAGACTCAAATCTCTGAGGGAATTCAAATGCAGAGAGAAAATTTTAATGAAAGTATGGCAAATTTTGTCTCTGACGTTTTTGTACAAAACCAAAAATACCTTGGTTAGAGGTTTTGCAAAATGAAAGTGAAGCTTTCTTTTAAAACGTGAAATTTCCTAGTAAAAATATTTGCTATATTTCATAAATTCTGAGGTACTCAAATTTTTACATTTTAACATCTCAAATTAGGTTGCATCTTTCAAAAACTGTCAATGAACCCATTGCAGTTTAATTGGCAGTGTTTTCCTTCTTCGGTGTTATGTAAGATAACGGTAGATCTCATCATCAGTGGATGAAATCAGTAGGCTTGAAACATTCTCTTCCGGTTGGATAGAGTCCAAATACGGACCTTTATTGATGAACACGATATGTTGAATCTGTTTCCTCCCAGTTCCCCTTGGAATTGTGTCTGTGGCTCAGAGCCACTAGTACCACAGATGGCAGTTTTGTACTTCACAACCTGCAGACGCCACCGTGGGCTGATTGCGAGACCCCCGGGCTATTGTGTTTAAACCAACTCCAGAAGTAATCCGTGTAAAACTAGATGGCCTAAATCTCCTGTCTGCTGTATAGAGACGTACATTTTACCATGCCCACGAAGCACTAGATGCCCACAGCCCTGACTTGTCCAGTCACAGTATGGTCCCTCTTTAGATACCATAGTGTTGAAGGATGGTGGTGATTTTCTGTGCTGGTACGCCCGGTGTGTGATGCCGCAGGCCTGAGGTGAACCGGGTGTCACTAGGCTGGCTCTCGGCCACATAAGCAGGAACACTGGCAGGTATTGGTGTTCTCCCTGATAACCTTGTCCTGTGGAACCGGCTTCCCAGAACTAAACCAGGAAATCGCCCAGAGTGACAAGAAGTACCACTGATACTTTGGAGAATCAGCAACGTTAAACGTTCTCATGCTTCTGATCTGCCTTGTGATTGTTTGACAACAGATTCAACTCAGTCTATCCCCAAATAGATTTCTTAACTGCCCCCTCCCTGCCGATGAAAGAATATAAAATCCTGCTTATTAGCATATATTTCCACAAACACCATCATAACTCTGTGTTCCTTTCGTCCCCTTGCATTTCTCCTTTACTTCTCAATTTTGCAATGAAATGGGAGACCTCCTTCTTTCAATCCTTAGCATAACCCTTCCCTAGCACTTCCCACTAACAATAGTGACAGTTTTTAACATCTGAAAGGGTCATTAACCAGTGGTTGTACTTTAATGGTTACTTCATGGTAAGACTTCTAGCACCTGGGGTGCCTGGGTGGCTCAGTTGGTTAAGCAGGTGCCTTTGGCTCAGGTCATGATCCCAGGGTCCTGGGATCGAGCCCCGCATCGGGCTCCCTGCTCGATGGGAAGCCTGCTTCTTTCTCTCCCACTCCCCCTGCTTGTGTTCCCTCTCTCGCTGTGTCTCTCTCTGTCAAATAAATAAATAAAATCTTAAAAAAAAACAACAAAACTTCTAGCACTTGACTAAAAACAAACAAGCAAAAAAAAAAGAAAAAATATTTAGGAAATCATATTAAATAGAAGTGTTTTATCTGCTCATGATTTCTTTGGGAATGAAAGGTAGCAGAAGAAACCTAGGTCTTTGCCTTATGAGGCCTTTGTGAAAAATGATATAGTTCATTTTGACTAGTGTGAAGAAATCCTATTCTTTTTTTTTTTTTTTGATATTTCAGGGTGTCTTTATTTTTTTTATATATTTTTTAATGACAGCTTTACTGAGATATAATTCACATTCCATATAGTTCACCCTACATATACTATTTAATTGTTTTTAATATATTAATAAAGTTGTGGAAAATTATCACTACCATCAGTATGAGAACATTTTTATCATGGTGAACAGATTTTGGAGGTTCTTTTTTTTTTTAATTTAATTTTATTATGTTATGTATATACAATGGAATATTATGCAGCCATCAAAAAAATGAAATCTTGCCATTTGTAACGATGTGGATGGAACTAGAGGGTATTATGCTAAGCAAAATAAGTCAACCAGAGAAAGACATGTATCATATAATCTCACTGATGTGAGGAATTCTTAATCTCAGGAAACAAACTGAGGGTTGCTGGAGTGGTGGGGTTGGGAAGAATAGGGTGGCTGGGTGATAGACACTGGGGGGAGGTATATGCTATGTTGAGCGCTATGAATTGTTTAAGACTGATGAATCACAGACCTCTACCTCTGAAACAAATAATACATTATATGTTAAAAAAATAAAAAAGAAGATAGTAGGAAGGGAAAAATGAAGGGAGGGAAATCGGAGGGGGAGACGAACCATGAGAGACTATGGACTCTGAGAAACAAACTGAGGGTTCTAGAGGGGAGGGTGGTGGGGGGATGTGTTACCCTGGTGATGGGTGTTAAGGAGGGCACATACTGAATGGAGCACTGGGTGTTATACGCAAACAAAGAATCATGGAACACTACATCAAAAACTAATGATGTAGTGTATGGTGATTAACATAACAATAAAAATTTAAAAAAACTAATGATGTAATGTATGGTGATTAACGTAAGAAATCCTATTCTACCAGCTATCTTGATGTGGTTTGAAATGATTGCAGTGATACATTTAATTAAAGTAAATGTTCTTTTTCTTTAATGACTGGATTCATAGAGCTAAATGTGAGGGGGAATCTTTGATACTCTTGCTGCCTCTTTATAGAATACTGTTTTTTTACCCCTTCTGTTACTTAAAGTCTAAATATCTTTAACCATTATGATGGTACTGATTAGTTAACCAAGAAGTTAAACCACTTACTTTGGGGACATTTAATCTTACTACAAAGTAAACTTTATTACCCCCCCCCCAAAAAAAAGTTCTTGAATCAAGTAAGGTTCATTGATGTTGATAATAGCCAAGCATTAGTGGCTGTTGGAGTGACATTACCATATAATTTTGCCATCTATCCACCTAATTTTAGCAGAAAAGAGTATTTAACCAACAGAGCCACCCAAGTGCCCCAGGAAAGAGTATTTAAAGAGGATATAATTAGGTGGCAAATATGGCAAGTTTCTGTTGTTATAAAATTCATTTAAAATTACTAGAATGTGGAACCCTTGTATCTTTTCTACCTGGAAAATAATTTTCTTCTCTTTATTTCTTATGAAGTGGGCCAGATGGAGAACATATCCCCAGGACAGATTATTGATGAACCCATCCGTCCAGTCAACATTCCAAGGAAAGAAAAGGATTTCCAAGGAATGCTGGAATACAAGAAGGAGGATGAACAAAAGCTTGTTAAGAACCTGATTCTGGGCAAGTATTTTCTGCATGGGATAGAAGGTCTTTCTGGTACATGTGTCAGTGGTGGGAAAGACTAGTCACTAAGTTTTACAATATTTTTTTTTTTTTAAAGATTTTATTTATTTATTTGACAGAGAGAGACACAGCGAGAGAGGGAATACAAGCAGGGGGAGTGGGAGAGGGAGAAGTAGACTCCCCGCTGAGCAGGGAGCCCGATGTGGGGCTCGATCCCAGGACCCTGGGATCATGACCTGAGCCGAAGGCAGACGCTTAATGACTGAGCCACCCAGGCGCCCCTCAAGTCAGTGTTTTACTTGGTAAACATGTCTGAGACCATGCATCCCTGGCTGCTAAGCACCATGGCGGACAGGGCTAGAAAGGTAACAACTTTGTTTTGAGCAGGGGGAAAGACAAGGTAATTTTTACAATATGCAACACTGGTTAATTGCGTCATCATCGCACACTGTGCATTATCCTGCTGTAGTAGCGTCCTGACCAGTCTTGCCTTATCAAACTACAGGGAGGCTTGCCTAGGATCCACCAGGCCTTCTTAACTCTGGCTACAGATTAGAACATCTGGAGAAGTATTGATGTGTGGTCCCCACCGTAGACTCATTACATAACAGTCTCTAGAGGGAAGAGCCTGGCCATGTCAAATACATTTTTTTTCAATCTTTCAGAGGATTCTGAAGTGTATCCACAGTTGAACACCACTGCTCTGGGCCAATTAACTTCCCGAGTTTCATTTTTTTCCTTGCTTCCTTTCACAACTAAATATGTCAAGAACAACACTTTGGTAATAGGGAAAAAACAAAAGAATTAAGGGAAGGATTCCAGCTGTGGAAGGAGAGGACTGGACAAATGAAATGGACACGGAAGAAGCATTTTAGAGAAGTGTAGGGTCAAGATGGGAAATAAGCCCATTGGTTCTGCAAGAAGACTCTTTAGGGAGGGTGGGAAATGAGTTGGGAATACACACAGCCTGAAAATTGTGAACTAAAAAAGGGAAAACCTCGGGGCGCCTGGGTGGCTCAGTTGGTTGGGCGACTGCCTTCGGCTCAGGTCATGATCCTGGAGTCCCTGGATCGAGTCCCGTGTCGGGCTCCCTGCTCGGCGGGG